GCGATTTTAGTTCTTTGGGTCATTACAAGAAACTTTGCCGAAGAAACTATAGATCGGAAGTGAATTTCCATCCAGCGAAATTTTAAATAAAGTTTTCACTCCATATGTTCAAGTACTAAAAAGTCATGTTTACTGCTCTGGGAAAAATAATAGAACCATGAGACGTGATTTAGTTACTTTATTATTTAAAACTTGAAAATGAGGCTGCACATATATCTGCATCTTGTGATTAGGATGCACTCCCAACTTTAACCCTCACAAGGAGAAACCAAGGTTTACTCTTCTGGGATTTTGATAAAACTTCGCATGGTGAAAAAATTGATAGTCAAACCAAATTGTTTAAAATATTATAGGCCAACAAAAAGTGGTTTAATTATAAAAATTAATTAAAGTTTTGAAAAATAGGCCTCGCGCAATACGTACGCGTACTGTTTTTCATATTAATATATCCAGGTAGCTCAGTCAGTTTTAACGCTAACTTCTACTTTTTCCATCGAGTTTTGCATGTTCAAATTTTGTCAGCGTATAATGTTTTTTAATTCAAACCAATTCTCAAAGACCATAATATTTTAGGTGTTCCTTTCGACTATCAACTCTATATCATACAAATGTTCATTAAATTTTAAGACTGGTAAATATGAGATACTTGTAAAATACTACTTTTATACTGAGTAAAAACTTTATTGCATCTTGATGATCATTCCCGAAGTGTTCCAAAAAATTTTCAGCAAAGTTTTTGAAATAACTCAAGAATTTTGGCAGCGTATTTTTTTTAAATTTAAACCACTTCTCAAACACCTATAATATTTTAGGTTTTCCATTTGACTATCAACTCTATAATCATACAAATTTTCATTAAATTCTAAGGCTGGTAAATATGAGATCCTTGTAAATTACTACTTTTATAAAAACTTTATTGCATGTTTTGCTGGATGAAAATTCATTCCCGAAGTATTCCGAAAATTTTTCAGCAGAATTCTTAAGGAGTAATCCAAGCAATCGAAATAGCCAAAAATGGCCAAAAAATTTGACCCACCCTAATGTTTATGAATATAATATTATAAACTATCATAATGTTATATTCAAAAATATAAATAATACCATTTCAATTATAATTAATAATTTTAAATATAATTAATCATAATTTGCAATAAAGCTATTTTAAATTAATATATTAAAGTCAAAAATATCGATGGGTCGAATTTTATTAACGTTCTGGTTGCTGAATTTTTACTAGCTTTTTTTCTTATGGCAAATATAAATCTGTATACACGAAAAGTTTGTAAAATTTCAATCTTTTTTAATTCAAAAATAAAATTCATCTTGTGATTAAGGTAATTACTGAATCAATTATTGTTTTCCAAAGAGTATTTGAACGTTGATAAAATTCGCATAAAATAACTTATGCTAATGATTAATATTTATAAATAATCATTAAATAATTATTTTATATTCATAGGCATTAAATGAAAAAAATACATTTTAAATGAGAAGCATTTCATTGATGTTAGTTATATTATTAGTGGTTATGAAGAACATTTGATATTTTATTTTGAAATAAAAGTAAATTAAAATAATTAATAGTAAAATATATAGGACTTAAAATAAAAATGATATAAGTCAAAATTTGAGATCTTAGTAGTTTCAATTTATGATTTGGAAAATTTCATTCAGTTCCATGTCTATTAGGCAGTTTTTAAGTTTAAACTAATATTTATCCATTACAAATATATTTAGTTTGAATTGAAAATTACAAGACATTATATATATATATATATATATATATATATATATATTATATCTGTGTGGGTGTATTTTATAACTAAACAAGTATCCATATAGAAAATTTGTAAACTTTCTTGAAAATACATATTGTAAATCACAACCATTCTTGAACAATTAAAGGTTTTACTTTTACATGAACATATAACCTGACCTGATTATTTATGTATATTTTTATTTGCATACATTCATATGTGCAAACACTTATATATACTTTTTATATTTATATACAAATGAATAGGTATGCTAATACATTATTTATTTATATTTAATAAGTGTTCAAATTGTTATTACATATAAACTTTTATCGATGAAAATATTACTTTAACACCTTTTTTCAGCAAATATTACACAAAATATCGGATGCAACATGTATCCTAATAGTTGTCCAATAATACTCTTGAATTGCGTTATTAAATAATGAAAAATATGGTGAAATTAAATAAAAAATATAAGCCCTTAAATGAGAATTAAAGCATAAAATTATATTTTTATATATTAGATGCTTAGACATATATGGCAGTCTAAAACGTTTCGATTTGATTCATAATTTTACTATTTGTTACTAAAATTTTGTTCGAAAATTTATGCCCATTATGAGCCTACAGAAGTACAGTACAATTTAAAAAAAAGAACAATCGCTAGATGACCCATTTTACATTCAATTATTATCCAAAGGTTAAAAACAGAGAAAATGATGTTGGAAATGGAGATAGAAAAAAATTAAGTTTTGTTAAATCCGAGTTTTTCCACGTGCTTGATCAAAGGTAATAAATTTGACCCTTGTTTTAATTTTATTAATGTAGTCTTTTCCCAAATGTACATTTAGCTTTTTTTTGTATGAAGCGAGTAGAATCTAAAATCAACGTTTTATAGAATGTTTAAAAGTTATGCACAGCATTATAAATGTAATTCATCTTCCATGAATGACATTGGTTTAAAAAATCATATTTTTTGATCCTTTGAGGTCTCTGATTAGTGAGATTTTATAAGTCAACTTTATTCTTTATGAAAAATCAACATTTTTCTTTAACTGCTGGTTTTAACCAAACTGGCGATAATGGTTTGCTGTATTTAATTTTCATTAATGACTTCCATAATTATTAATATATAATATTTTTACTGATCAGGAGCAAAGACATTTGCTTCTTAATTTTATTCTGATTCCTCTCGCTCAAAACAAAAAAAATATATTTAAATTACAGTACCGATAATAAATAATGTCACAATGACTTCTATGCTTTTTACTTCTATTTTTACGGGGTATCCCAAAACTCAACGTCAAGTCGAAACAAAGTGATAGAATTGACACATTCCACATTGTTTGAAAATTATGAGTTGTTAAGTGCAACCTAAAGCTTTGGTGATAAACGGTTAATATGGTTAATTTTTACCTCCCAGTAGGGTAAGATAAAGTAATCGCAAAAAATAGAAAATAAAATTTTTATATATCTTTACGTTTCAAAGGTTTCTGAACATTTTGGCATACCTTAGAAAATATGGATGTATGTGTGTATGTGTGAATGTTAGTGCATGTTGTGTAGTTGTGTGTGCGGATACAAATTTTCGTCGACGATTTCGGAAACTTTCGATTCGTATTAATAATGAGACGTGCTGATTATTTTGTGGTAAAGGCAGGTCGAGCCATTTCGAAGATACGAGGCGAAAAGTACCAAAAATGGTAATTGATTTTTTGAGAGAACGGAGAGATTTGTATATTTCAAAAAAACATTTTATTCGTACTGACCAAATGAAGAACTGATGAAATGTTTGGGTATGCAGGTCTGGTTTTGGAGATCCAATAAAAAATGCGATTTGACGGACAAAATTATGATTAGACATATGCACATCAAATTAACACATATTTTAATAGTAATAACAAATTTTGTTCATTATATGGGTTCCGTACCAATGTTTATCTGTTATACTGCGGCGCCCACGCGCTTCGATATTTCGTTTCTACGCAGCTAACGTATCGCGATCACTTCCAAAATATTTCAAAGTATTAAAAAAATCTATTTTTTTAAAAAGGTCAATTATTTTCAAAAATATTAAAAATCTCAAAAAATTATTCTTTCCACAGTTCTAAAAGAAAATTGATTATTTTTTAAAAACTCAAATGTTTGGTGCGGGAAGTTCCAGCAATTTTGTTTTGCAGGAATTTGTTATTGCTTTTGTTCATTTAAATTTTAGAATCGTCACCATAAAAAGCATTTCTATGCTTATAGTGAAAAATAATGACACAATTGCTCCAAGTTTTCAAGAATTAAGACTTTTGTTAAACTATGAATTTAATTTGTCTACTTTGAGAAGCCCTCCTTTAAAGAAAATGTACTAAAGTGTGATAGCAAGTTTCATCAAAAGTTGGCGCATTTAATAAGTTAAAATACTTTATAGTAAAATGGTAAAATACTTGAGAGGTTCATTATGAAAAATTTTGAGTTAAATGAAAACCTGAAAATAACAAGATAAAGGTTAACGTATTTTGCTTACATTTAGTTCAAATATTTCGCTCTCGCACATTGATTTTTTCATTATAAAATTATCAAGTATATTATCATTTTAAAAACCTGATTAAAAGCGCCAACTTTTGATGAAATTTGCCAACACACTTTGATACATTTTTTTTAAGAAATGCCTGTCGAAATCGACCGATCTTAAAAATTTTAAATTCAAGTTCAACAAAGAAGTAATTCTTTAAATCTTAGGTCAATTGTGGGTCGATTATTTTGGACAGTGGTTTTGGACAATGTTATTCATTAAATGTTATTCGAAAAATTGTCACAACTTCACCAAAGCTTTGGTTGCCCTTAAAAGCTAATAATTTCTAAACAACGTAATATCTTTTTGTTTTCTATTTTTGTCGCTTGACGTTGAGTTCTAGGATACTCTAACATATAAAATTTTATATTTTATGATTAACTAAATATTGAAAATCAATCTTATTTTAGACACCTGAAATTACATTCAAAACACATTGCGTTGTAACTTAAACATCAATGCCACAATCACAATCTCAATAATACAACATTTACCGATTCGTTCTTATTTTTATTTCATCAGAATCAGAAGATCTTAAATATTACTATATTTGTAACATGATTAAAATTGTTTTAAGTGAATTGGTTTTGTCTATGTTTTTACCTTTATAGTTTAGTATTTTAAATCCCATGAAAGTGATTTAATAATGTATTAATTTAATTTAATTTTAATTGCAGAGTTATTTTGTGACAGATTATGATCCCACCATTGAAGATTCATACACAAAGCAATGTGTCATAGACGACATCCCAGCTAAATTGGACAGTAAGTGAAACAGGATTTATTATTATATAAAGATTACTTTTTAATTAATAAAAATAATTATATACAAATTATATTAGATTTAAGACATAGGTAACTTAATAATATAGTAAAACTTAATCGTGTACAAAAAACATTTTAATCGTGTTCTCCAAGTTATCTCTATTTTAAATATATCGTATAAAATTGATTTAGCTGAGACATTACTAATATTATAAAACAAATATGATTCATTAAAATGAACACAAAAAGCCTCAATACCTAAAAAATTTAATGTAGATAAAAAAGTTACATAATAAATATAAATACTACTAAAAGCTAAATTCAGTATGTAATATTGGAGCACAACAGCAACTTCAACTTTATTTTGAAATTTTTCGTAGTTTCTTACAGCTGATCTTGCAAAATATTTATCCAACTTAATTTCAACATTAAGTATTTTCTGTTACAAGCTTTTAAGCAAGCAATTTGATCACAATGGCTTATTTATTTTTCGCTCAAAAGGTACAAGTGAATTTTAATATTGATTATTCCTTGTGACTCATATTTACTACACAAATCACAATACACTTTTTTTACATATAATCATCTTTGGACATTAAACATTTGTATCTCAAATATAAATAAACACACAATCACAATTTTATAAATCTACCATCACGCATTCTGATGTTTGTCCAAATGTTTTTCAAAAAATTCTAGTTCAGTACTTAAATCTTTGAGAAGATTTTGCCTGTCGGCTTGCTTCAAGTAACCTAATATAGTCTTCAGCAATTGAGTGTAAACTTCTGCTAAGGCTTGAACATCCGAATGTTTTGTTATATTCAAACACTTAGTGTAAAGTTTGTCTAAATGTCCTCGATCAATTATTACTTTTTGAGAGTCCGTTGCTTTAACCTCTGCCAAAAGATCAGATACATCTAAAAAGTCATCAACAATTTCCATAGATATACTGCTATTATTTGATTGTTTACTAGTATTTGCATTTGAAGCATTGGTTTTGTTGTTAGCATCTGTTACTACCACTTTGGCTTCAGCCTCTCTTGCTCCTGCTTCTTGAATTTGATTTCGGATCATTCTGCGCTTAGCAATTTCTTGACATTCATCTTCAAAGTCTGTATCCATTTCTCCTTTTATTTTAGCATATGCGTAGTCTTTTAAAGCAACAGCACAATGTCTTATCTTTTTATCAGCACTGGTCTTATTGGGGTTGTATTCTAAAGCATTTGCACAGATTAGATCGATGTCTTGGAGAAATTCTTTGGCAGTTGTATATCGATTTAAATCTATTTTTGCTATCATTGTTTCTAAATCCATAGGTTGCTTAATAACATCTAAGTAATCTTTAACCTCATCTAAGTCTACTGGTTTTGCAAACATCCGAAAAGTGCGCTGTTTACTTAAATGATGGGCAATCTCTCTCAAAAATACACGTAACTCAACTAATTTCTCTTCTTCTTGAGATTCAAATTTTGCTAATTCTTCTGGTGTATAAATTCTAGCAGGAGGTGTGGGTGCTCTGGGTAAAACCTCTACTTTTCTTGTTTTTGGCTTCACTTGAGGAGGTTTCAGTGCCAAATTAACAAACAGAGGTTTGAAGAATTCTTCTCGAGACTGTCTCATTGGATGATTAGTCATTGGTAGAACACAACGTAAATGAGCAGGAAATAATGTTTGTATGCGATCATCTAATTCCTCAAGCATCATATTAGCAGTTGCTAATACAAGAACAGGTGAACATTTAGTTATTATTTGAATTTTTTCTGCAAGTATGGCCTTGGTGGCATCGGAAGCATGTTCCCACAGTAAGTCTAAAGAAGGCAAGTAAAGAATACTAGGCGCTCTACGCATGCATTCATCTAGGATGTGCGACACAGTTTGCTCTTGAGATAATGACAAATCATCAGTACCATGTATTGAGCTGACATCTAAATTGTAAACGCTCAAATGTTCCATGTGATGCAATAACGCAGGAGCCAAATAAGATTGGCCGCAACCTTCCGACTGTCCAAGAATCAGCAAACGCGAATGGAATAAAGCATGATCCTGTCTCAGAACCTGAACTTGTTTTGAAGTATCAGGATCCATATACGGAAACACTTTGCCCAACCTCTCTACGGCGTCTTTCAAAGCTGCATCCAGGAGAGGTAATAAAAATCGCGGTAAACGTCGTCCATATTTATTTCCCTTTCGAGACCCTGCTGGTATTATTTGAGCTTGAGCTCTGAGGAAATCGACATGTTCGACTTTAACTTTCTCGGTGTCTATGGCTAATTTGAATTTTGACTCGTAAATTTGCGGATAAGTTCTTCGCAGGCTTTGAAGCATAGCTTCGGAACACAGCGCTTCAAGATCAGCGCCGCAGTATCCATCTGTTAGGTCTGAGAGCTGAGATATCATATCATCACCGGTGCCCCATTTTTCCATTTGGATACATGAATCTTCAAAATAGCCTCACGCTGCGATCTTGCAGGTAGGGGAAAGAATAGCTCTCTATCAAATCTGCCGGGTCTTCTTAGTGCTGGATCCAATGATTCTATACGATTTGTAGCTCCGATAATTATGACATCGCCTCTTGCTTCTAATCCATCCATCAGGGTTAGTAATGTTGAAACAATACTTGAATATACTTGATCTTGTTTCGATGTACGCGCGGGACAAAATCCGTCAATTTCGTCGAAAAATATAATAGATGGTCTCATGAGCTGCGCTTGTTCGAATAACAATCTCAGATGTTTTTCGCTCTCTCCAAACCATTTATTTAGTAAATCACCGCCTTTGCGTAAAAAGAAGGACACTTTTTGTCCTGTGTTAGCAGAACATTCACCTGCTAGCGCTCTAGCTAGTAAAGTTTTACCAGTTCCCGGTGGACCGTGAAATAGAACGCCTTTAGGCGGCTTTGTGCCAAATTGCGCAAATACTTCTGGATACAACATTGGCAAAATGACCATCTCTCGTAAGCAACGCACATGAGAATCCAAGCCACCAACTTGTTCAAAGCGGAAGCCATCATCACCAATGCTGAGGGGCTGAATATCAGATAATTTAATATGCGAGGTATCCATATCATTCGCCGGTTTAGTTTATCTTTATGTTTTGCTGGGCTGGAGCAAGCAACCGGAGGGCGTATATAGGGAGTTTGAGCTCTATCATCTTCTTCATCGTCATCGTCGTCACTGAGATCTCGAATGCGTTGTCGGGTTGCTCTCAAACATCTTCTACGGCGTTTCGGCTCGGGTTCTGCATTTGACCAAATGTCGTATTTATTGTAATCTCTGTGCGAACGATAGCTGCGCAAAGGTTTTCTTTGACGTAATTCATATATCCTGCCACCTCTAACATCGTCGCTTGAACTCTGTCTCTCACCTTCTTCATCTTCCATCTCGTCCTCCAATTGGGGAGAATCTTTACGGCCTGGTTCGGGTGTGGAAGTTCCATTGGGAAATTGAGATCTAGTATCAGCATTATTATTATAAGAAGCACGGGGGTTCGATTGATCAAGTATATCCATAGATGACGCTTTTTTATTTTGTGAAGTTTCGTCTTTTTGTGAAGATTTATTAGGTGAACTTCTAGACCTAGTTCGAATTCCACCACTATTATTTGCATCATTCTGTTCTTGTTCCGATCTTCTTGTGCTATTTCGTTGTTGACGGACATCATTATTATAATGTCTCGATCGGCGCTCGTAACGAGAATTTCTATAATTTACTACTACTTCAACATCATCATCATCATCGTCGTCCTCGTCGTCATCCACTTCTTCATCTTCTACTGCTCTTGAAGAATATCGTCTTAATTGGCCAATTTTCGGCGAAATAATATCGCGATAATTGGTATTAGTTCTAGGTCGCAGATTCTTTCTAACTGCTCCATTTACACGCGAATGTTGTTGAACTCTGCGAGAAATACGATCGCTGTTTCGACGCGCGTAATCGGATGAGTCACTCTCAAAATCTAGCACATCCCTACGGCGCTTCCTAGACCTGCCTAAAGCCCGTTGGTCATCGCTATCTTCCGACATTTTGCCGTCGTCCGCTCCGTCTGCACCTCCTCCACCCCTCCTTGCGCTGCTGAAGCGCAAACTCTTCCTTAGTATACCCAGTTTTGCAATTTACTGACAGTGGATAAAAAAATTATTGCCCAACTATCGATTGTTGAAGGCCGAACTTTCTTCAATATTTCATCCCTGTGATAGACAAGAGAATGAAAAAATATGACACTTTCCTTTTAGAGTAATGTAACATATATAACTGTGTAATACTTCTAGAAGTTCATATAGAATTCAGTATGATATTTTCAGTCATTGTCTGCAACATTTTACGTAGATCAATTATCTTGGCTTCGCACCTTAATGATAGTAATGCAGTAACCAACAGAACTATAAACTTATTTCTTGCTTTTATTGAAAAATATATTTTAGGATAATTTAATAAAACTTTAATCTTCTAACCTCTTAGGTATTTTTTATAAAATCGCTATTTTGTATAACAAAATTATATGTAGCTTTAAGATATTTTTTTCTATTTAAGTCCTGGATACTGCCGGTCAAGAAGAATTCAGTGCAATGAGAGAGCAATACATGAGAAGTGGTGAAGGATTTTTGCTCGTGTACGCAGTGACGGATAGGGCTAGTTTCGACGAGATGTACAAATTTCACAGACAAATCTTACGTGTCAAAGACAGAGACGAATTTCCAATGCTGATGGTCGGCAACAAAGCAGATCTCGAGACGTCTCGCGTGGTAAGTCAAGTCGACCCAGCGTATTTTTGAAGAACCTATATGGAAAAAAACAAAAGCATTGAATTTTCTATAGATATAAAGGTGACAAGAACTATATATCATAATAATTGATCATTTTTAACAATCGTTGTACCGTCTGTACGTTAAAAAAAATTGCAGGGGCGTAAATCATTAATGGCGCTAATGAAAGACCAAAGAGCAATTTTGAGTCATCACTGACTAATTTTATAGAGGTTAATTTAATCGTGGTAAATACCAAGCGATTGCAAATGTTTATATTTTTCCCTCGATATCAAGAGATATTATAAATGCTTTGTTTTTATTCAAAATATTTTATTTTCATCTCATGAAAGAGAATAAATAATGAATAAATACGCTGGTCTTCTTTTATTTTCATCTCATGAAAGAGAATAAATAATGAATAAATACGCTGGTTAACCCTTTTAGCGACGAGTGTGAGATTGACGCTGCTGAACGGAACGGCGAGTTGCTCAGTATAGTCCAGTCATTTAAGCTTAAATAGGTAAGAATTCTCGGAATTCGAGATACCTAGCTGAAAGTATGTAAAACTTGTATATTGACATCCCAAAGTGTCTCAAACCTACATATGGTAGGGTGTCAATACCATATGTAGGTTTTGAGACAACTTTAGTGTGTCAATATACAAGTATTACTGACTTACAACTGAGTATCTCTAATTCCAAGGTAGTTTACTGTTATGACTGGGTTAGTAGCGAACTGAAAGGATCGAGCAAATCAATATATAATATTTAAAATTTCAATCATTATCAATGAAGCTGCATTTTAAAAATGAAAAATTACACTTTTAATAACTGAACATTATAATAAAAAATTAAAATTCTCAAAAGTTTAATCATAGTAAAATTTCTTGAAGCGAAAATCAATACACAACATGCCTTCTATAGACGATCTCCATATACACAGGTGTGGATGTCGTCTATAGACGACGCTCGTAGCGAAAGGGTTAAGCATAAAATGTCTATTAGAGTAATATGAGTTATTTGACACCAGACTAGTGTAATTTGAAACAGATAAGGTAATAAGGAAAACAATGTAGAATATTATTGATTCGTTATACTTTTAATCTGAAATAATTTAAATCTAATTAATCACGGATCGTTTAAATCGTTATAAGATTCATACAATAGTATAATACCAAATGAGTAACATTTGTTGATCGAAACACATCATTGATCTCATTTAACAAAGTAACCAGCATATAATTCGAACTAATCGTTACACGTCAGGAATTCAAATTATCACTCATTCCTTCTAATATATAAAACTTTGACTTTAAACAAATAATATTATTGAACAAAGGTACAAATAATTTTACAATATGAGGTCGCAGCATGGGATAATATTTAATTTAAACTGCTAGGAGAGCAAATGCATTAATACCGTGGTTTCCAACTGTGTGGACGGGATCCATCAGGTTGGAAACAGTTATTACAAAGGGTCGTACAGTTTCCAAATTAAATGAATATTAATAAACAGTCTGATAATAAATTGAAATCAGTCGAATATTGTAAATTATATGTATTGATGGTTTGGTACAGAAATCTACCTCCATAAATAGGATAGTATTATTTTTTACCTTGTCATAAGGTCGATGACTATTTCAAATGACTTAAAAGCGGTTTAATTTCGTTTTGTAGTGACAGTTTGAAATGCTGTTGTTTTAAAATTGTCTTTGACATATATAAGCCGGATAATATACTAATAATTTTTCACTATATTTAAAAGTTCTGGTATACCAGCATAAAATCATTAAAAATTAGTTGGTAATTGGTAGTTTGCCTTAAGGAAAGTTACATGAACTTCCCGATATGTGTAAACAATCCATTTAATCCATGATAAATAAATTAATTTATGAGTAGTTAAAAGTAAGTGGATTTACACATTATTGAACACGTTAACCCGCCGGAGTATTTCTGAAAGCAAAATTTTTAAAATCAATGATTTTTATATTGAACCAGGGGTTAAGTGGTTTAGTATGTTCATTAA